ACCATGGAGGGCTTTGAAGGTAAGAACGAGGGTTTTGTACTCGATTCTCTGAGGAATGGGGAGCCAGTGAAGCCGGGCAAGAACTGGGGTGATAGGTTCATAAGAACATAAGAACATAAGGATTAGGAGCAGGACTAGGCCATTTGGCCCCTCGAGCCTGCCCCGCCATTTGATAAGATCATGGCTGATCTTCAGACCTAACTCTAATTACCTGCCCTATCCCCATATCCCCTAATCCCTCTATTTTTAAAAATCTATCAGTCTCAGCCTTGAAGATATTCAAGGACTGAGCATCTACAGCCTTCTGGGTGTAGTGAATTCCATAAATTCACGACCCTCTGAGTGAAGAAATGTTTCCTCAACTCTGTTCTAAAAGGCTGACCCTTAATTTTAAGACTGTGACCCCTGTTTATAGATTCTCCATCCAGGGGAAACAGTCCCTCTGTGTCTACTTTATCCAGCACTTTAAGAATCTTATATGTTTCAATAAGATCTCCCCTAATTCTTCTGTCCTCTAGAGGATATAGCCCTAGTTTATTCAGCCTATCTTCATGGGTCAGTCCCCTCATCCCAGGAACTAACCGAGTGAATCTACGCTGCACCCCCTCTAGGGCAAGTATGTCCTTTTTTAAATAAGGAGACCAAAACTGCACACAATACTCTAGGTGCGGTCTCACCAAGGCTCTATACAGTTGCAGCAAGACTTCCCTACTCTTGTACTCTAAACCTTTTGCAATGAACGCTAACATGCCGTTCGCCTTCTTAGTTGCTTGCTGCACCTGCAAACTAACTTTTTGAGACTGGTGTACAAGGACACCCAAATCCCTATGAACACTAACACTATCTAAGCTCTCCCCCTCTTGAAAATAATCTGTTTTTCAATTTTTTCTACCTAGGTGAATAACTTCACACTTCCCCACATTAAATTCCATCTGCCACCTACTCGCCCACTCCCCTCGCCTATCTATATCCCATTGCAATCTTTTTGCATCATCCTCAGAGCTTACTCTCCCACCTAGTTTAGTGTCATCCACGAATTTAGATATGTTAGATTCAATGTCCTCGTCTAGATCATTGATGTAAATTGTAAATAGCTGAGGCCCAAGCACTGATCCTTGTGGCACTCCACTAGTCACATCCTGCCAATTCGAGAATGACCCGTTTATCCCTACTCTCTGTTTTCTACCCGTTAGCCACTCTTCAATCCATGCTAATATGTTCCCATTAATCCCGTGGGCCTTAACCTTGTGCAATAGCCTTTTGTGTGGCACTTTGTCAAATGCCTTTTTAAAATCTAAATATACTACATCTACTGGTTCCCCCCTATCTAACCTGCTGGATACATCTTCAAAAAATGCTAAAAGATTAGTTAAGCATGACTTCCCTTTTGTAAAGCCATGTTGACTCTGCCTAATCTTGTTATGGTCTTCTAGGAATCCCATAACGACATCTTTAATTAAGGACTCAAGAATTTTCCCTACCACTGATGTCAGACTAACTGGTCTATAGTTCCCCATCTTTTCTCTCCCACCCTTCTTAAATAGTGGTGTTACGTTTGCAATCTTCCAATCAATGGGAACCGTTCCAGAATCCAGAGAATTTTGGAAGATCAAAGACAAGCCATCCACTATCTCAGTAGCCACCTCTTTTAAAACCCTAGGATGTAGGCCATCAGGTCCAGGAGATTTATCAGTTTTAAGACCTGACAATTTACCTAAAACCATTTCTTTACTAATATTAATTCCCCAAGTTGCTCGCTAACATTGTCTTCTTGGTTCCCCTCTATTCTTGGTAGGTTTTCAGTGTCTTCTAAGGTGAAGACAGTAGCAAAGTACTTGTTTAATGACTCTGCCATGTCTTTGTCCCCTACTATAATTCCCCCCGTCTCTGCCTGTAGTGGACCCACATTTACCTTTGACAGCCTCTTCCTCTTCATATATTTATAAAAACTCTTGCAGTCTGTGTTTATGTTCTTCACTAATTTGCCCTCATATTCCATTTTCTCTCTCTTAATCACTTTTTTGGTTCTCCTTTGTTGATCCCTAAAGTTCTCCCAATCCTCGGGTTTACTACTCATCTTAGCTGTTTTATAGGCTTCTTCCTTTAATGTTACACTTTCCCTAACTGCTCGAGTTAGCCCCGGTTGGGCCACCTTTCCCGTGGCATTCTTATTCCTCAAAGGAATACGTGCTCGCTGGGAGTTTTGCACTATCTCCTTAAACGTCTGCCATTGCTGGTCTACTGTCAAATCCTTAAGTCTAATTTCCCAGTTTATTTTGGCTAAATCCTCTCTCATACCAGCAAAATTGGCTCTACTTAAATTTGAAACCTTTGCTTCGGATTTAATTACTTCTCTCTCTAACTTAATGCTACATTCCATCATATTATGATCACTTTGCCCTAGAGGAGCCTTAATTTCCAGTTTGCTGATCAACCCTGCTTCATTGCACAAAACAAGGTCTAATATGGCTTGTTCCCTGGTTGGCTCCTCGGCATGCTGATCTAGATAATTATCCCTAATACATTCTATAAACTCTTCCTCTATCATACTTTTCCCAATTTGTTTGCCCCAATCTATGTGCAGATCAAAATCACCCACAGTTAATGTTTTTCCTTTACTACATGCTCTGCCAATTTCCTGATTTATACCTTGAGACTTACTGTAACTGCTGTTCGGGGGTCTATAAACTATTCCCACTAGAGTTTTCTGCCCCTTGTTATTACGTACCTCTACCCACACTGACTCTACTTCCTGCTTTTCTGATTTAGAATCTTTCCTCTCTACTGTTTTTATCCCATCCTTTATTAGCAGGGCCACACCCCTCCTCATTTGCCACATTGCCTATCTTTTCTATACGCCACATACGCCCTAGAATACTTAGCTCCCACCCTTGATCTCCCAGAGGTTCCCAGAGCCTGGTGCGGGAGAGGACACAAGCTACAGAGTTCTGAATAATCTGCTGTTTATGGAGGGAAGAGTTGGAAAGTCCAGTGAGCAAGCAGTTGGCGTAGTCAAGCCGGGACATAATGAAAGCATGGATCAGGGTCTTGGCGGCCTATGATTTGAAGCAATGGCGGAGACAGACAATGTTGCGGAGTTGTGGAAAGGCAGAACGGGTCACGGCACGAATGTGGGGTTTGAAAGATAGCTGAGGGTCAAAAAGTACACTGAGGTTTCAGATTGGCTCAGTGAGGTGAATAGTGATAGTGTCAGCGGCTGAGGTGAAAAGGCTCTGCCGGGAGTCAAGCAGGAGGGCCTCTGTCTTGCCAACATTGAGCTGGAGGAAGTTGGCTCTCGTCCAGGACTCAAGCCTGTTCTGTCATTCTATTAGATCTTGGTTGATCTGTATCTCAACTCCAATTAACCGCCCTTCCCCCCATATCCTTTGATACCCTGACCTAACAAATATCTATTCATCCATCCATTGAAAATTTGAATGGAGTCAGCATCCACAGCATTTGGGTGGAGAGAGTTCCAGATTTCCATTACCCTTTGCATGAAAAAATGCTTCCTAATGTCACTCCTAAATGGCCCAGCTCTAATTTTTAAGATGATGTCCCCTTTTTCTGGATTCCCCCACCAGAGGAAATAATTTATCTGTAGCTACCCTATCGAATCCCTTTATCACCTCAATCAGATCACCCCTCAACCTTTTAAACACAAGGGAATACAGACCAAGTTTGTGCAACCTGTCCTCATGATTTAACCCTTTAAGCCCTGGTTTCATGTTGGTGAATCTGCGCTGCACCCCCTCCAGAGCCAATATCTTTCCTGAGGTGCGGTGCTCAAAATTGAATCCAGTACACTCCATCATACACAACACCATATACGCCCTATTATACTGTACAAAACTATCAAATGTTACAAGGCCCAACACTAGTAGTTCTTAATTTGATCACTGTGGTAGGAATTCCTTTCCACTAAGCTACTATGCTGCCATTTGCTGCTTCCTGGAGTGTTCTCCTTCATATATTGGGTTCCTAGACATGTGGCTGAAAGATGTATATATGAGTTCCAGGACCTTCTTACGAGATACATTTTCATCCATGCCCCTTTGCTGTTATCTCTTACATGAGGATCAGGCTAAGCAGTTAGTGTCCAACAAGCCTGGAACACAACATTGGTTTTGGATCTCGAGGAAGTCAAAGAAGCAGGGACATTGAGCGGCAGTGCAAATTTACATAGTAGACATTGTACCACAAGGAAACAGACCATTTAGCCCAACTAGTCTGTGCTGATGTTTATATTCCACATGAGTCTCCACCCATTCCTTACTCCCTTCCATACCCTTTGATTCCCTTCTTCCTCATGTTACTGATGTCTCTCCACTATCCTAAAAGCGGACATTCATCAGAATCCTGACAATAAAACTCTTGAGTATTGGTACAACTGCTGCTGGAAGGTATTTCTTGATGAGTGGTGTCATGGTTACCCTATTCTTGCAGTCTATTGTTATGTATAAATAATAGTGAAGTTGCACTGGCTCCATAGTGAAATGCCTAGTGAAGGAAGGAAGAGTGGGTCTGGGTCATCTTTGTAAACAAGTAAACTCTATGATCCAATATCTGAGCCTGACTGACTCCAGTGATCCCCAGCACTTTTGGTGACCAGTCTGCCAGACTTATCAAAGGAAGTTTGATAATTGAATTGGAATTGCAATGGTTTGGTTTCTGACTATCCGTTCCGTAGTGATGAGTGTGGAGGGCACTCGATCACAATGGATAGAGAAAGAAAGGGGATGAGCTTCCTAAGGAAAGAGGGGTCTCATCCCCTAGGAGAGAGATTGTACACGTGAAACTCTGCTTCAGTCATTTCTCAGGAGATGGAACTAGAAACTTTTAAGCGTGGACTTCCAAGGACTTACTTGTATCTTAGACTTTTTATCCAGAAAATACACTGGAGGAGGAAGAAATGATCACTGTGCAAATCAAGCTTGTTCACTTTGAGAGGGCAAGTCACTCTCTTTAATTCAACTTTTAGTAGGCAATATGTTTCTTACCTGACAGATGAATTCTATTGGATCAGCTGCTTTAAGAAGCAAACATTCAATCTCTTCCATGGCAGTGTAGTATACAATGTGAGCTGTGGCTTTGATGAACCCTTGGCAGTAAATATTAACTGTCACAGGGCCGGCAGGAAAATCTGTGGAAAATAAATAAGTGAGAGGGTCATGACTGGAATTACAATGGCTAGATTTCTGACTACCAAATAATTGCAGATGATTTTCCTTTCAACCGAACTACCATATATTTTATATGTATACACTAGATACAATTGGTCATTCACTTCATGGCTGTTTGTGGGACATTGATGAGTGAAAATTGGTGGAAGCCTTAACTTATAAATACACATTCACTACACTTTACAGTAAAATTGTGTGCCTTTTTTGAGATGTTTCAATGATATAATATGGTGCTTTATCAAATGCAAGGATTAGTATTATACAATGAGATCCCGAGTGTTGGAGGAACAAGCCAAGAGTAATGATTAGGCTTAGAGTAATGAGTAAGCCAGGGCTCTTCAATCTTGAGAGAAGATGTCTCTGAGGGGACCCTCTAGAAGTGTATAACATTTTAAATGGGATTTGAAAATGTCAAGCCAGAATTATAATTTTGGCTGCATAAAGAGAGTAGAACAAGATAACATTGATTTAATGTTCCAAAGGGCAATTTCAGGACAAATACCAGGATGGTTTTCTTCACCTAGGAACTGGGACAAGAAAGTGAGGAGAGTTGAGGCTAGCACACTGGATGCATTTAAATGTTGTGATGCTGTGATGAGGTTGGGAGGGTGGATATCCTGGAAGGTTGAGATTTGTGCTGATCTATGACAATGCATAATTTTCTTTGCAAGTTTCCAATCTCTTTGTCACAATTGCCAATTTAGTTATATTTGCATATTGTGGATTTTTCACCAATACAGCATTTGTGGGTGCATTACGTAGCACCTTCCAATTGGTGAGGTGTATTTCTTTACCACGATAGGGAAAAGGTTTACACCATCCATACACTCCATACAGTGTATTATCAGGCCACAGTGAGAACAAACCAGACCAGAGCAGGAATTTTCCACATGGATACAGGGGAAGCTCAAGGAAAGCCAATATGATGCATTTTTGTCCATATTCTAACTGTTGGTCATAGAGACTTCACCAACTTTGTGGGGTCTAATTTTGATCATTGGTCCTAATAACTGTCAAATTAGATAAATTCTGTATCAATAAAAATAAACAGTCCATTTCTTGCAAACTTGACTTTTTTGGAAGGGCGGGGAGGTTTACTCAAGTTCATCCAATGGGAAGCTCCACAACTTTACACAGCCAGTTTACATTGCAGAGAAGACATTTATTCTGCTTGTATGTGAACTTCAGCACTTTGTCTGTCTTCATGATGATGTACAGTAATTGCAGGCCATTTGCAGTAATGCAAGATATCAGCTTGCTTCGGTTGGTAACAATAGTGCCTCCGGCTCAATAGGTTGTAGATTCTACATTAGAACTTCATGATCTATTAGTCTGTTACTCCAGTGCAGTATTTGAGAGTGCTGTATAGTTAGAAATGCTGTACTTTGGATGAAATGTTAAATTAAGGTCCTTTTTGTTGTCAGAAGGTCGTTTAAAATGAAAATCTATGAAAATAGAATGTTTATTGTTTCTTTGATGACTTGGACAATAATCCTTTGGATCATTTACTTCATGGTTGTATGTGAGATCTTGTGTGCAGGATGGCTGCCAAATTTGCCTACAAAATTGACAATCACTGTAAAGTGCTTTCAGACTTTTGACGTTAAAGGCACTTTAAAAATGCAAGTCCTTTCTCAAATACTCATTAAGAAACAGCTTAGGTAACTTTTTTTCTTTCCTGTTTAAATATTTGTATGGGGAAAAATACATTTTGAAACATGTGCCTCTTTCTGTACCCTTATTTTGACACTTATTGTTTTTTACTGCTACTCCTTATTATGTTGTTTATTCTGTAGGATTCCTTGAGAACTTTTTAATGTGTGAAATAAATTTTATGTTCACGGTTATAAAAGGTTAGAAATTGATCGAATATTGTGAAAAATTTTCAACATTTGAAATAAGATGTTCTTTGTTTCCCATTTTATTGTAAATAAATGCAAAAAAGTAGGACCTATTCTGCTCACACAGTCAGAAACACATGAGCTCTTGTCATGTCTTCATTACATTAAACCTTCAAACAAAACACTTAATCCACCTCCTCAGGACTTTGCAGTCAAAGTTGCCGAAGTCATAAAATCCCAGGAGCATAGCAACAAACATCTACAGAGAAGTGGTAACACTTATCCCAGTTGGATTTACAAGTAGAAAGTCATGGAACCATTTTAAACAATCAGCCCCATTAGCTACTTCATCGACAATCCTCTTCTCAGTAATAATCCTTGCATTTGATACAATGCATTATCGTGCCGTTGAGACATCTCAAAGCGCTTTATAATATTTTACTGTGAAGCGAAGTGACAGTATATTTGAATGCAACACCCAATTCATGCACAGCAATGCGACACAATCAGGCAATAAGTGAATGCTCAATGTTATCAGAATTCTTGGCCAGGACACTGGAAGAAACCTCCTTCTCTTTTCAAATGGATTCATGGGATCTGTAACGTTTACGTGTACAGGCAAATGGACATTGGTTTATCATAAGATTCAAGTCTCATTTGCTGCACAATTTGCTCTGTTTTCCCTGGAGGGGGATTGACAGGATCGATTGGCAACCACCAAAGAACTGAGGTAGATTTTAGCTCCACCAGAGAATTAGTGTTACATTTCAATATTGCACTAAAGATGAGCCAGAATGGCTGGGCAGTCATCAACAGTACCCTGGAGTACTGTGGACCTGCCTGGCTCAGCACCTGTACTACGAATATCACCATAGTGCAATGGTAATCAACCAGTGGTCCAAGGGCCAGAGGTGGCTATCAAGAAGTGGCCTCCCCGAACATTTGCACAAGTCTAGGTAAATCCGTGTTCAATCGGTGGTGTGTTTTCTGTTTTTTTTATGGCATAAATCAAGAAATATTCAATCAAGAAAATGTATTTTGGACAAACATAAAGGTTGGCCACCACCGGCATAAAGGGTTGACGCGATTCTGACATTCCATTGTCAAGCACATCACCTTGGAGCCAGCTCAGTTCCAAGGAGACCCTGATTACTTCCACCCCACCCACCCACATTGAAATTTCTGTGAAGTGTCATGACAAGGAGCATAGCTAGAACTGAGCTGTAATCTACCTCACTCTGGCAGTAGGATATTTGGATAGCATCAGTAAGGATCCAAGTTTCCATCACTAAACTAATTGCACAAAGCTTCAAAGCTGCTTCAGCAACTTTGGCACTTCAGAGTGGAAAGTTACAGAAAGACATTTACAAGTAGACATTTACTGTAGCAACTCTTGAAAATAATAGTGGGAAATTACAGCATTTCAAGAGACGTTTTAGAATTGTCATTCAAGGCTTCAATTGTAGCGTTTGCAATATCTGCGTTATTATAAATTAGGTTACATAAGAGAAAATAACATATTATTCAAATTCCTATGAAAAAAAACAATCTTTAAAACTTCTGTTCAATCAGCCAAGTCAATGAAGAACAGGAGGAAGCCACTCAACCCATCGAACAAGTGTATTAATTGATGATGGCAGCTCTTTATGTTTCTAATCCTATTCCAGTCTTGTCTCCAAATCCCTTATAACAAAACTTGCCTTTCACGTAAAAAAATAAATGTCTCAAAGCACTTTGCAAAATATAATCGATTGGAAGTGAATGTTATAAAAGCAAATGCAGCAAGTAAACTGCGCCAGCAACATCCCATAAACAGCAATGAGATAAGCAGGAAACTAATTTGTATTTGGGAGTAAATTTGGATGAGGGCCAGAACATGAAGAACTCTTACCATTCAGTCACTGTGGGCAGGGAATCCTCCCACTCAGCTCTTGTTAACCTTGCAAGCCAAAGCTCTAACAGATAGGGTGGTCCTAGCTGGACAAGCAGCCAGAAAGTAGACAGACACCAATATCAATAGCAAGCTATGTAGTTTTAGCTGGTTAGACTCAGTTACCCCAGTTACCCCTAGTTACCCCAATGCACACTCTGGAGTCCCCAGGCCTTGGTTCTTGCCAACCTGTGCCTAATAAATTTCGGAATTAGGTAAGCAAGGTATGTCCCTCCAGGGAGAGAGTGCAAATTCCATTCTGTCTCTGGGAACTCCAGTGTAGATGGGATGCATTCAATAATCAGTTTGGTTTGGATATTCTTACTCATGGTGATTGGACACCTGACTGACCAAAAAAAATAAGGTTCACCTGACTCACAAGGCAGATGGAACTGAAAATTAATTTCTCATTGAAAGAATGGGAGATGATGATCTAGAAATAAATAATAGAATCATACTTTTGTAATTAATTACAATCCTAACATTTCATATAGTGCCTTATGTCATCTAGACGTCTCAGAGTGTTACCCAAGATTTTACTGTGAAATGTAGTGACTGTGTAAGTGAAGGTGGCAGCCAATTTGCGCACAGCAATGTCCCTAAAACAGCAGTGAGGTGAATGCAGGCAAAAGCAGTAACTAATTTGTGTCAACAGCATCCCACAAACAATGACACAATTAAAATTGAGGAAGAAGAAAAAGAGTGGGAATAAAATGATTAAAACGGGAGATAGAGCTCATGGTCAAATTAAACAAACACCGAGGCTGTGTACCTTCTGAAACAACAACTTAATAATAATAAATAATAATCCTTGCATTTGATATAGCGCTTTTCATGTCTTCTAGACGTCTCAAAGCGCTTCACAGAATATGCTGAAAAGTGAATTGACCGTATATTTGTGGGATAAACGTGGCAGCCAATTGCGCACAGCAGTGTCCCACAAACAGTCTTGGATTGAAAATGACCAATTTATTATTGTTTTGGAGGGATTATTATTAGGTGTGTGGAGTAAGGAAACTTGCCCGAGGTTTCGCCCTGCCTGGAATTGAACCCAGGTGTCTCACTTGCAAGGCGAGTGCTCTAACCACTGAGCTACAGGACTCCACAATGAGAGGGGCATTAGGTAACTTGCAATTATATAGTGCCCTTCTCATGGGATAGTATCTTGAAGTGCTGAACAATGGCATAT